GCATCACAGCTCACAGCATCCGCCAACTCCTGGGCTCAAGCGAGTCTCCTGCCTCCGCCTCCCAAGTAGCTGAGACTACAGGAGCCTGCCACAACGCCCAGCTATTTTGCAGCCATCATTGTTGTTTGGTGGGCTGGGAAAGATTCGAACCCGCCACCTTAGGTGTATGTGGCTGGCACCTTAGCCTCTTGAGCCACAGGCGCCAAGCCTACAAAAAGAAATTTTAGCATGGTGGCACAATCCTGTAGTACCAGCTACTTGGGAGGCTAAGGCAGGATGATCATTGGAATCCAAGAGTTTGAGTGTTACAGTGAGCTATGCTCTGGCCTCTGCACTCTAGCCTCAGGCAACAGAGTGAGACATCTCAAGAGAAAAAAAAAAAAAGAAAGAAAAAGAGAAAAAAATTCACTGGCAGTTGTAATTACTGAGAGATTAATAATCAGTATACCTTAGTTTAACTGCACTACTAACCAGATTCATACTACTTTGTTCTCAAGCTAGGCAAGTACCATCACCTTTACATAACGCAGAAACTACAGAACAGCAGAACAGATTTTTTTTTTAATGTTACAAACTTCAAATCCTAACTACTAAATTTCTCAATCAGGTAATTCCCCTAATTAATGTCCTCCCTTTCTCCCTTGGGTTTAAACTAGGTTAGATTTGTGCAGGGTAAGTATGTCTGAGGGAAAGTGCACTGGGGGAGCTGAGTAAGGAAGGATGTGAGGCACGTGTGGTGTGGAGGATTCAGAGCAGGAAAGGCGGTAACGTGAGGAGCGCAGAGATCGTCAGGGAAGGACAGAAACCAGGGTGGTTCTGGGGATTCAGGTTTCAGTTCAGCCCTGCTGGAGTGAGTGTGTGTGTGTGTGTGTGTGTGTGCGCGCGCGCGGAGGGGGCTCAACTTTTTTCATCTCTGATCAAGACTCAAATTCTTCATTTTTTTTTTGAGACAGAGTCTCATTTTGTCGCCCTTAGTAGAGTGCTGTGACATCATAGCTCATAGCAACCTCCAACTCTTGGGCTTAAGCAATTCTCTTGCCTTAGCCTGCCAAGCAGCTGGGACTACAGACGCCCGCCACAACGCTCAGCTATTTTTTTGTTGCAGTTGTCATTGTTGTTGACAATGTTGTTGCTGGCCCAGGCAAGCTGGGTTCAAACCCACCAGCCTTGGTGTAGGTGTCTGACACCATAAGCACTGTGCTATGGGCTCTGAGCCAAGATTCAAATTCAGCCTCAAGCTGTCCCCCTGGGTAGAGTGCCGTGGCATCTCAGCTCACAGCAACCTCCAACTCCTGGGCTCAAGCGAGTCTCCT